CAGAATTTTATGAGATTCTTTCTCAATCCCCCTCTCAAGAGCCGGATCTAAAAAGTAGATATTTCACCCTCATTCTATAACTAGTTGTAGAAAAGTGGGATCGAGTGACCTCTAGCTGAATGAATGAAAATACACCCATGTATACAGCGGGCATAATAACAGAATAAGAAACTGTGAGAAATAAATCTAAAGACTCTCAAATAAACCACTCAAATCAATGTATAGAACACTGCCGCCAGCCATAAATTCAAGGTCGCACTAAGGGCAGACCAGGATAGGACATGGTGACTTAACCAACACAGAAGACAGCCCTGTCTCCACGTCGGTGTTGATACCACCAAGGTCAAGGCCACGTCCCTCCAGGGTTCTCCCTGTAATGTCACCTGAGACGATCAACGCTTCGCAACAGAGGCAACATCTTAAATGCCAGAGGTCCCCAACCCCCGGGCCATGGACCAGTATCTGGCCTGTTAGGAACCGGGCCGCAGAGCAGGAGGTGAGTGGCTGGCGGGCGAGCGAAGCCCCGTCTGCATCTGCAGCCGCCCCCCAGCGCCGCCATCACCGCCTCGGCTCCGCCTCAGGTCATCGGGCACTAGATTCTCGTGGGAGCACCGGTCCCTGGTGCCACAGAGGTTGGGCTGCTCTATGTAACTTAAATGCATTAGGCCTATTCGCTGATAAGTGATAACATGAATAAAAACATAAGCTTAGATTTAAAAGAAGATGAAATCTGAAAAAATATCACACTATAAAAAGGAACAAAGAAGGTATAAACCTTCCTTCCCCAGCTACTTGCCATTCTCGCGACAATCCAGCAAGTCGAAAGGGAACATACGAAATCTGAACTCCACGATAAAGTGGAGATTCAACCGGAAAGCCAATTTGATTTTTTAAATTTCGATAAATGGTTTTTAAGACGGTCTTTGGCTCGAGTTGATGCAGAATTAATTAGCGTTACTTTTGCAACAGGATTTTAAAAGACTTCAAGAGGTTATTATGCTGAGTGAAATAAGTCACACAGTGAAAGATAAACACCGTATGCTTTCACTCACATGCGGAATCTAAGGAAAAAAAAGAGCAAACTAATCAAAAACAGACTCACGAATATGGAGGACAATCTGGTGACGGCCAGAGGGGAGAGGGGTCAGGGGCTGGGAGAAAGGGGTGAAGGGTTAAAGCACAAAGCGGTAGTTTATAGATGCTCACGGGGATGGGGAGCACGACGCAGGGAACGCGGTTGGCATTAACGAAATGGCTAGGCGGAGGGTCAGGGGAGGGAGGGAGCGATCGGGAGGATCATTTTATAAACTATATAAATGTCTAACCAATGTGCTGTATACTTGAAACCAATAAAATTAAATTAGAAAATAAAAATAAAAAAATAAAGCGTACAAGAAAAATGCCTCTTAATGGTCAAAAACTCTAACACGGATCCTTCCACATTTAGTAGCATCTGAAAAGGAAAAATTATCGTTTATTCAACTATAAAAAAAAATCACCCTGAGGAAAAATTTAACACTCTGAAACACTGCAAAGTCATCAAAATGTTCGTGTACTTCAAAGGACCACGCAAGCCACAGAATGCGTTTGAAAAACACATAACGCGATTCATTGCTTCATCGGTATAATTTTAATCAGTAGGCATATTAATGTCACGTATACTTCCAATATAAATATTTTTAAAAGCTGTGTTTTACATATGATATACAGAGCTGATACAGTTAGCACGGGTTATCGTTGGCTGTAAGAAATTCGATCGGAACACTGTTCTGGCGAAGGGAGCGGCTCCTTTTGAATCGTCACACTCAGCTGCAGGGCGAATGGTCTCCCGCACGCTCTGGCTCTGAACGACCCACTTCACGGGCTTCGAACCCGCTGTGCCATCCATCGCCGTGCGGACGATTCCACGGCTCAGCAAAGGCGCACCTGCTCGGATTCTCGACAAGTCTGATTAGGCAGGTAACACCCCCACGATAAAAGCTTTTATTTTAAGACAAGTATCATGCAGATGCAGCACGGAACTCAGACCCGCAGCACAGGGGATGAAGGACGAGAAGCACACGGCCGTGTGACCCCGATGGCGCGCTGGCACCCTCCTTCTGCACCTCCACTTCCCGCCCCCCTCGGACGTGCTCGGTCAAAGTGTCTGTACACCCGAGAGCCACTAACAGGCTTATCATGTGAGAACTACGAGTCAAAAAAGCAGACTTTCTAGGTAAGAAATCTCTGAGTACTTTCTACTTCATGTGTTTTTATCACCGTTTGATAAAGAGGGGGTGTCCTGTCTGCACGGAGCCAGTTTGCTCACCCCCGATCGCACGTACTGAACACAAGCCAGGGACGGGACGCGTGCCGTGGCCGCCGCGGTGACCGGCGGGCGGCGTGTGCCACGTGCAGTCCTTGCTCCTTGCTGTATGTCCACGCCGCGGCGGTCAGAAGAGAAACGTGCCAAAACTGCCCTTCCCATTCCACCTGAACTGGTTCCCCACGATCGAGACGAACATCTCCTGCGACATCAGGTTGTCGTCCGCCTGCGTGATCCCCAGCTCACTCAGCCTTTTCCTCCTGAGCTGGCCCTTCTGCGCGGAGGCGGCCACCAGCTCATTCACGATCTCACAGTTGCCTTCGACCTGCTCGGCAAGGCCGGAGCCCACGGCGGGCACCACCCGCCGGGCCACACAGCCGATCAGCTCCTCCAGATCCGCTGTGTCGCCCGCGTCGGCCTCTCCGCTGGTCTGACGCTCAAGCGCTGTATTCTCTGGAGGAACAAACAAGGTTACACGGACAAACCGGCCCAGCCAGGCGCGTGCTTCTGCAGAGCTCCCGCCACGTGCCCGGACGTCAGTCGCTCCCTTCACGGAGGGGCTTCCCGGGCCTCGCACAGCACGAGCAGCTCCGACTCCTTCTCTTTCCACCTTGGAACCTCGTCGCTCGGCAGACCTCTCCTGACGGTCACTGTGTGCTGAGCACTGAGCTAGGAGCTGGATGCTGCCCGGACGCTGCTGCTCCCCCTAAGGGACTCCCCAGGGGCTGCGGGGACACTGCACGGGAGCGCGCGCCAGGCGGGGCTCCAGGTGGCTCCCACAGCGCTGCCCAGCGCTCGGCGGTCGAGGGTTTCTCAGCTGTGACCATGGCGACTAACCAGGTGACCTGAAGGACACGGTTCGAGTGTAGATGACCTAGTCACGAACCCTTTGAGAGCGGGGTTTTCTCGGCTGGGTGAAGGACGGGAACGCCCGGGGAGATTCAGAGCCTGTGACACATCCCGAGCACGAGAGGGACGTGCCCTGAAGGAGTCTCTCTGCTGCTGTGATGAGGGGGTGTCAGCAATGACCCGAGAGCGGCTTCGGACCCCGACCAGCAGCCAGCGAGGCAACGGGGGCTCCAGTCCGACAGCCTCCAGGAAACAGACCCGCCCACAACACGGGCGGGCTGGGAAGACCCTCCCCAGAACTCCCAGGTAAGGGCCCTGCTGGGTGACACCCGAACACCCCTGCCATGCCCAGCGGGGCTCCTGACCTCCAGCCTGGGAGGAGGAGCTGGCCGAGGCGGAGCCGGGGCAGAGCCTGGAAGGGGACGAGGACTCCGCTGTGCCAACGCTCGGCCCTTCTCTGTGACTGGGGGGGTCACAGCGACCTGGGCGTGGCCGGGAATTCATGAATTCCCGAGTTAGCTCAGCCGACAGGGAGGCATTTACTTGTGCCAATAAAACATAGAGGCAAACTCCACGACCCCCGCCAGTGACCGCGACCTTCACCCCGGGAACTCATTCCTCTGCCCCCATCGCTAACAGACACCGGCTGGAACCACCACTCGGCCGTACGTCCACCCTGAGTCCAGAAATTCACGGGAAGCCAAGCACGCTAAGCAGGGGACAGCAGGGCCACAGGGAACACACGTCACGGTCTGGAAGGAACGGCTCGCTGACCCTGACAGCTGCTTTCACCCTGAGAGTCTACAACGTTACAGCTTCACCAAGCTTTCTGGTCCCCAGGGCCAGGCACGTGCCCGTCACCTTTCGTACACAAGGAAGGAGACTCGGCCCCTTATGCAGCGTTTAACGCTAAGATAGATTAAATGAGATCTGTTGTTTCATTTTAAAACTACTCAACACCGCTTACCTTCGGCTCCATCCTGGGCACTTTCTTGCAGGTCAGAGAAAATCGTAGGTTTCACCAAGACAACGCCGTAACCTTCGTTGTTGTGTATGACGTTATTCGCCATGGATATTTGGGGAACATCGTAATGCTCGTCCAAGAAGTCCTGTGAGGTTGAAAACAAATGCTTTGAGAAACTGTCACATTCAACGCTGCCGGCTTTAAAAACCTTATTTTTTTAGGCTATTCTAAAAATGAAGTAGAAAGCCATGCTTATTACTAGGTGGCAGCAGTCTGAGCTGTGACACAGCATTTCTGTTATTTCCACAGATCCGTGGACAGCAGAGCATTCTCACGAGTGACTTCCAATCACCAATTATTAACAGTGTTAAAATCCATACACTGTTTCTGCATCTCAAAGGCAGGAAACGGCAGAAGCCACGGTGGGGATTTAATGAAGCGTGACTGCTTCTCAGGGGAACCAGCCTGGCTGGGCAGGGGGTGTGTCAGCGGGGCTCACCTTGATGAGGATCCCTTCCTTGCAGTGGTGGATCCCGTTGTCACTCAGGGTGCACTTACTCCCAGGATAGATTTCTATGCCAGCACCCTGCAAGTTACAATGTAAGGCAACGCCCGTCAGGTTTGAACAGCCGGGACGAGAGGAGGCTGGGCACGGCTGCGCCTTAGACTTAACCGCAGTGCACATGGAGAGGGTCCTGCACGGGGCTTCACGGGGGTTCCCCATGAACGGCACGGCCGGCTCCACCTCCAGCAAGTTGCTGGTCACTTACCACTCTCAGAAACCACACCACACACCGGCTAAGAGCACCGACACCTGTTCCTGTTCCGCTTTCGTTCTGGACGAATCAGTTTTCTGATTCTATCCATCAGTCACACACATGTCATGTGATCGTATCAAACGATGCAGAAAAAACATCGGACAAAAGTCGACGCGCATCCATCTCATATCTAAGGGTGACGCACGGAGCACGGCCCCCGACCCGTGGGGGGCCGGCCCAGGCGCTCCGCCCCCCACGCCGAGCACGGCCCCCACCACGCTCACCCGCTGTCCTGCTAGACGTGCTGGTCAGAGCCGTGAGGAGAGAAAAGGAAACCAAAGTCACACGGGTGAGAAAGGCACAGAACTGTCCCTATCCGCGGACAACACGATTTGTCTAAAACCCCAACGAATCTACAAACACACTCCTAGAAATCGGAGGAAGATGTTCAAGGTCACAGGGTATAAGACTAACACACAAAAATCGATTGTATTCCTAGATGCTATAAACACACAGAAACCGAAATTAAAAATACAATACCGTGATCACTCCAAAAAATGAAATATTTACGTATGATCTAATAAAACACATACGAGATCTGTATGCTGAAAACTATACGATGCCAATAAAAAAAAATCAAAGATTGAAATAAACGGCGAGACAGGCCTCGTCCACGAGATGGGCCTCAACATAAAACGACGTCCGTTCTCCCCAAACTGATACAGAGGCTGAGCAGATGCCTAGCAAAATCTCGGCCAGACTTTTCATAGATACAGACAAGGCTTTTTTCTAAAATTCATATTGAAAGGCAAAGGAACTAGAACAGCCGCAATGATCCTGAAAAAGATGAATCGAGTGGGAGGAGTCACCCCAGAGTTCGAGACGTCCTGCAGAGCTGCAAGAGCAGACGGCGGGAACAGAACAGGGAACCCAGAAACCGACCCACAGAGACCCGGACGACTTGCTGCACGGCCCGAAGCCCGCCCGCGACAGAGAACACTGCAGTCAGAATGGGATATCCGCAGGCAAATGAACGAAAACCTTCACCTGAAAGCACAGTGTAGGCCCAAATCAACTCAAAAATGAATCACGGCCTTAAATACAAAATGCAAACTATAACATTTTGGGGGGAAAAAAAATAGAAAATCTTTGAGTTCTAGGGCTAGGCAAGGCGTTCTTAAACGTAACCCCAAAAGCACAATTAACTCGGAAAGGAAAATTAACAAACTGGACTTCATGGAAATTTAAAACACCACTCTCCAAAAGCCCACGTGAGGACGAGACCAGCTACGGACCAGCGTAAAGTGTCCGTAAACCACACACGCCCCGGCGAAGGCCCGGTAGCTGGCACGTACGAAGAGCCCTCAAACCTCTGCGGCAAAAAGACCACTCCAGTTAGGACACGGGCACCAGGCACGAGTAAGACGCGTCCCTGCAGAGCAGACGCGGACGGCAAATAAGACATCCGTGCGACACGAAAAAGTGTTTGACATCCCTCACCAACAGGGAAACGCAAAGGCGAGCCACACGCCGTCCAGAATGACTGAGATTTAAGAGCTGGTGAAAACGCAGAAGCGCTGGCGAGGACGTGGAGAAACGTGGCTGCCGGGGCGGCGAAGCCCGCGCGGCTGCTCTGGAGAACAGCTTGGCGATTCTAATCTCAAAGAGAGCCGCGCTACAAAAGAATCCACGACGCTGCCACCTTTAGGGTCTAAATCCCCCATCAACAGAAACGGTCGGATTCCGCATCTCCCTTCCTAGCCTCTGCTTTGGAAACGCCAGAGGAGAAGAACCCTGGGCGGCTGGGCCCGGCTGACCTCGCACGCCGGAGTGTCCCAACGTCCCTGGAGAGGGAACAGGGCCGTGCGCGTACATCCTGCTGCCGCGTTTCGTCACTTACTGAGAACTTCGACCTAAACTCCTCCGTCGAAGGACGAGAGCAGCGTACCTTGGCACCGTATAAATCCGAGGTCTTCATTAAAAACTCCGCTGAGGTCCGCACGGTGACCCCGGTCGTCTCGCACTGCAGGACACAGTTTTCCAGCGTTGTCTTGCCACGGTGGATGACTGCGGGGACAACGGCCACGTGCGGTGAGGAGTCGGGTCTTTTCCCACAGGAGAAATGGCCCAGAGCTGACATCAGCTCATCTAAACACCTCGGCAGCTACCACTTAAACCTGGTTATCGGAACTGCAAACGCGTGATATTTAAAACTACTTTGGGTTATTTTGTGAAATCTACAAGCAGCGGTCCTACGTGAAACTGACCCATTTCCAAGAACAGGCTGAAAACTATGTTTCACTTCGGAATCAGCTTCCTAAGTCGCCACGCTACGTACGTAAGTAACCAATCGGCCTTCCGGACGCTCGAGAGCGACATTTTCTTCAGCTGTATCTCCCTGGGAAAGCGAAGCTTTCCTTCAAGCCTGGAACAAACAGACGCGAAACGGCCGGACACTCACTCAAGATCCCTTCCACGGCGCCGTGCTGAACAAACTTTATGCTCGAGATTTTAACGTCCGCGCCCGTGCAGTCCACAAAGGTATCTCCCGTGCCACGGTTCTCTATCACCACGTCGTCGGGCAGGCCGTACCCTGGGGAGGGGGGAGGGCAAGGTCAGCGTCCAAACGGCAGACGGCCTCGAGCGACCCCGGACAGTAGGAGACCCGCCAACCCAGCTGCGACGAAATAAAACCTGATCGTCTCCCCACGTGTGCTCAACTTACACCAGGGTCGACAACTTCCAACACAACGCCCCACCTGCCCCCGCGGCAGGACCGCTACCTGATGACCACCTGACCGGCTCAGCCACGAACCCACTGAGGACCCGCGACAAACAATAAGCAACCCCAGGTGCTCACAGCGGGGCCAAAGGGCCTTAAAGCATTTAACACTTGTGAGTTTTTTCCAACCCTGAGCTTATTATTCAAATATAAATTAGGTTTCAAAAAGCCTAGGCACTTCTCAAGATTATCTCATTTAATATTCACCTAAACAGATTGACTTGAAATCTGAAAAACTAACTTAAAACCGTTTTAGCTATTAGGAAAATAGGTCTATTGAAAAACGCTGGCTCTTTACGCGTCTCAGTCAAACCGGCGATGGGGGCCGAGCCCCCGAACGGCTTCCTGACAAGGGGAGAATCCAAAACCAGCCCCTCGCCCGACCGCGTCGCAAAACACGGCCTCTTGGACCGGCCGGGAAGAGGAAGCCCAGCGAAGGTGCTGCTGCTCGCGTGCGGGGGAGCCGGGCCCAGGCCAAGCGGGCCGTGCTCGGGGTGGTCACCCCAGCCCCCGGGAGGAGCAGACCCGCTTGGGGGGGGGTGCTGGTCCCCCGGGAGGGGCGCAGGGCACTCACACATGGCCCGCTGCGGCCTGAGGGCTGGGTTAGGGGCGGCTTTTCCCTGATTCCTTTCACGTGTCTGCACATTTCCCACGATAACCACTATTTTGTATCATCAGGAAAATGGAAAATAGAAAAGGATTTGCTGTATTGAGAAAAACTGACGATTATATAAACAAGTCGGGCACTCTGAGCCGTTTAAAACGGAAAACCCTCGCCTGAGAATAAAGGGTCTAAATGGGGAAGAACCCTACTACGTGCACTGTGAAGACCCTGCACCTCGCGGCCACGCAGCGTGCCCCCCGTGACGGTGGCTGCCGGAGGCCAGGCCAGCTGTCGGACAGGCGCCGACCGCCCC